TTATTTCATCCTTGGTTCTTCGGAAACCCCTACCACTTTTCCAGAATCACCTCTGGACCATAAACATGACATTTTTTGGAATCAGTTTGTCAAGATTATATCTCAGAATATTTGTGGATTATCAGACACATTTTCCAAAAGCTATTCAAAGAAATTTTCAATTTCTGAATATAATTTTTTTTTTTAACATTTTTGAAATTACGAAAAAGATTTTTTTGTAGAGTTCGATTTCCAAAAGCTAATTACGGGTTCATTTTCCGAGAACTCCTATCTACCATTTTTCCAAAATTGCCAATATGAATTATGTATTACAATTTTAAGGATTTAAAAAAAAAATATGTACTTTCAAAACAAATATTTCCAAAATTTTGGTGTGGGACCAAAAGCAGGATATTTGTATTAATCAGTTTTTCGAGATGTGTTTCCCAGGATTTTTGTCGATCTTTAGGAAACTTTTTCAAAAGCTCAATTCTTTTATATGAAATTTTTGTTTTTTTTTAGCACCTTGGAAAATTACTGAAAATTTTTTTTTTCAAATTCCCGCCAATTATTTTATTTTCAGTTCTTCGAAAACCTAGCACTTTTCCAGATTCACCGATATGAAATACTTATTACAATTTTGAAGATTAAAAAAAAATAATTTTCAAAGAGAATATTTCTAAAATCTTGGCATAAACATGATATTTTTTTCTAATCAGTTCTTCGAGGTCTGTACCCCCGAATTTTTGTGGATTTTTAGGACACTTTTCCAAAAGCTCACTTATTAAAAATATGAAATTTTGACTTTTTCTTGGGCGCCTTGGAAAATTACCGAAAGAGATTTTTTTGTATACGTCGATATCCAGAAGCTAATTTCGGATTCATTTCTTCGAAAACTCCTAACATTTTTCCAGAATTGCCAAGATGAAATATGGCAATTTTGAGATTTCTTAAAAAATTTGATTTTCCAAGCGAAGATTTTAAAACATTTGGTCCGGGACCATAACCTGGATATTTTTTTGGAAACAGTTCGGCGAGATCTAATTAATAGAACTTTTGTGGATTTTTAGTCAACTTTTTCAAAAACCCAATTTTTAATATGAAGTTTTTGACCTTCGTTTGAGCACCTTGGAAAATTACCGAGACAGATTTTTTTTGAAAATTTGAAATTTCTGCCGTTTATTTCATCTTAAGTTCTTCTAAAACCTCTAGCACTTTTCTAGAATTACCAATGGGAAATATTACAATTTCGAGGATTTAAAATAAAATTCCATAATTTAAAAGCGAACATTTTCAAAATTTTGGTCCTGAACTATAAAATAGTATATTATATTATTAGGTTCTAAAGTGTATCTTTTCTTGACGAGCAATGATTTCGTTTGCGAGGCAAGAAAGACACTTTAGAACCGAATAATATATACTATTTTTTCTCCAACCGCAATCACGATGTCGATGCAACCAAATCTAGTAATAAAAAAAATCACGAAACTATTTCGTTTTTGCTTTTGAACAACTGAAATTAACCAAAAACTCGTTGCTAAATAAAATAGCCCATTTTGATGTTGAAAGTACTAACCAAAGTCTAAATTTAAATTCTGATACCTGAATACTTTTTATCCTAGGAGTAAAAGTAACACTTTAGGTCCTAAGATAAAAAGTGATATGTTTGTTTCTAGGATATTAGGTAATTAGAGACCCCTGACAGTCAAAAAACGTCATGCTTTGATGACGGTTGGAGAAAAAGTATATTTTTTTGGAATCAGTACGTCGAGATCTACATCCCAGAATTTTTGTGGATTATTAGACAAATTTTCCAAAAACTCAATTTTGGAATATACATTTTTTGGAGGCATTTTTGAAATTACCAATAAAGTTTTTTTGCAGATTTCGATTTCCAGAAACTAATTACGGGTTCATGTTTTCGAAAGGTCCTACCATTTTTTCGAAATTGCCAATATGATCTATGTATTAGAATTTTAAGGTTTTAAAAAAAAAATGTACTTTCAAAAAAAATATTTCCAAAATTTTGGTGTGGGACCAAAAGCAGGATATTTTTATTAATCAGTCGTTCGAGATCTATTTCCCAGGACTTTTGTGGAGTTTTAGGGAACTTTTTCAAAAACTCGATTCTTTTATATCAAAATTTTTGACTTTTTTAGCACCTTGGAAATATACTGAAACAATTTTTTTTTTTTAATTTCAAATTCCCGCAATTTATTTTATTCGCAGTTCTTCGAAAACCTTTACCACTTTTTCAGATTCACCAATATGAAATACTACAATTTTAAGGATTAAAAAAAATACTTTCGAAGAGAACATTTCCAAAATATTAGTTTCGGACCATAAATAGGATATTTTTTTGGAATCAGTTTATCGAGATCTGTATTGTAGATTGTTAAACAAAAGCTCAATTGGAATGTAAAATCTTTTATCTTTTCTTAAGCACTTTCGAAATAACAGAAAAAGACTTTTTTGTAGACTTCGACTTCCAGAAGCCAATTTCGGCTTCATTTCTTCGGAAATTCGTAACATTTTTCCAGAATTGCCAATACAAAATATGGTAATTTTGAGGGTTCTTAAAAAATTGTACTTTCAAAGCGAATATTTTAAAAATTTTGGTCCAAGACTACAACGGGATATTTTTTTCGAATCAGTTCGTCGAGATCTATGTCCCAAAATTTTTGTGGTTTTTGCATATGAAATTTCTAATCTTTTTTCAACATCTTTGAAAATTACCGAAAGAGATGTTTTTGTAGATTTCGACTTCCAGAAGTTACTTTCGGCTTCACTTCTTCGAAAACCTCCAAAATCGCCAAAAGAAATACTTATGTACATATTACAATTTGTTAAATGATATTCCTAATATACATACAAAATGTGACAACAATCGGTCCAGTAGGTTCGGAGATTACTTGTCTAATAAAAATGGATACAGACAGACAGACGGAAACGGGAGACTACGTTTTTCGTACTCTAGAGGTCAGGACACATCTAGAAAATATGAAAGTGGCAATTAGGCCAATGGACTCGATTACAATACTTACAATGCTTACGCTTGGTACTAGAAAAAGGAAAAACAACTAGCAACTGGTTTTCCTTGACATTTAATAGTTTCTAAAATATCAAAAAGTGGGTTTTCTTTCCTGGGGTATTTGCCGTCTGTCCATCTGTTTGTTGGCGATTTTATGAGAAAAATAATCTCAAGAGACTACTGAACTATATATTGACTGAATGTAGGTGATAAAACACTAACCAAATTGGTATAATCATCACTTTAAAGATTATTTTTTCTTTTTGGTAGGGAGTGTTGTAGTGGCACCTTATGTATCTTTTAGCTTCAACACACATTTCTGATACTCTGTACCAGTAATTTTCCCTCGGAAATCCAGTTCAGTTGATTCAGTATTGATGGTCTCTTGTTGGAATTGGATAAACTTACACAGTAATCAATTAATGCTGTTATTCTGTTCATTCTCTTTGAATTGATTCCAATGTAATTCTCTGAAACCAACTAACCTTTCCATATTAACTTTTGAACTGATGATACAGACAGATGGAAATTTGCAGAAAATCCATATTTTGTAAATTATTAAGTGATTCGCGTTGTTTAGCGTAAAAACCATTTTAGCTGTCCATCAATATTTGTTAGTCTTTGATCAGTCTTGAAGCTGCAAGATTACCTTTAAACTGCACTTCAGCCCAACCTTCTCTCAATTTGTCTTCATCAAAAGTATATTTAGAAGTTTCCAAGTCAATTCGCAACTACTGTAACTACATCAGTGCGTTAAAATTTATTTCATGTACAACAAACACATTGTCAATGAGAACAAAGTACTGTGAAACTTTCCACTCGTGGAAACACAAACAACCTCTCCACGTACAACTCTTTAAAGGAAAAATTCATAAGACCAAAACAGTTTTCACCACACTCCTTAAATCAATCACGATTCTAAAACACAATCACCTAAAGTGGCCCGCTAATACCAACATTACGAATTTTCCCTCTCATCCTCGCTTTTTCCCACTTTACTTTTAAACCGGCATGCTTTTTGGCGCGGGGTGCAAGAAGCATGACTCCCAAATTGTGCTTTTTGTGCGACACTTCTTCCCAAATACCCACTCCGAAGTAGTTCTTGGCCCAGTTAATAATAATTACGCAGATCTTTTCATGAGGAAAGCTGGTGGAAAGGTTGCGGTCTCGTTTCTGCTTTTGTGTTGGTTTTGTAAAGCGCGTCTCTCCTCTCCCATTTTCCTTTCAACTTTTCATTTAAAGTAAATAAAAAGTGTTTTGCGTTTCCCACTGTCAGCAGCCGGGCAAAGTGAACTTCCGAGTTTTGTGTACCATTCATCCGTACATTTTTGTCTAATGCGGACGCCGTATCAGAGATCTCACTATTTGCACTCGGTAAATCGGTTCATTCTGTAAAGTCGGGCCTATTCATTTTGCTTTCTGCGTGGATTTGCATTATGGTCGAGAATGGATCCATTATGTATGGACCGGGTTTGCAGGAAAGTGGAGCTTTATTGTTAAAAATAAATTCAAGAGCTTAAAGTGCCATTACACGTAATTAACTTAGAGTCGCTGTATTGCGAAGTTAATGGCTTATTAAACATTTTCATTTATGTTGTTTTCAAAAGGCATTTTGTTACAAGCGTGTGTTCTCACTCCACATTTTTTGCTACACCGTCTATTGCTTTTGAAGGACTTCAGACCGCGAAGATATTATAAGTTATCGAAATGGCCAGGTTAAATTCCGGCACTTTTCTGGTAAAATTTGTGTTTTAGCGCTACCATTAATATCGACTTTGGTTTAGAACCGTGATTTATCGCTCGAAAGTGGCTCGCATTTGTCGCGTAATTTTAATAAACAATCGTCCATATTTCATTCAAATTTCATTAACCGTTGCGACATAATATTTTTCCTCATCTCCCGAACGGATCGTTCATATTTCATCGGAATAAATTCGAGTCCTTTTCCGTACACTTCCATGTCTCATTTATACTCATTTATTCTTTACAGTTACTACGCTTCAACGTCATTTCCTGTGGGCCCTTCACGATTGGTTCCGCCAATAAAAAGGCAAAGGTTAATGACAACTGCAAGAAATGGCAAGAACAATCAATCCCAGAAAACATCGACCGTTCCTCCACTCGATCAACTCAAAGTCTACAGTAAGTTCCGCAAACTAATCATAACTCAAAAGAGATTTTTCCCTTCTTTCTCCACATCTTCATCGCCAGAAAGAGAGATTTTATGGCAAGCGGCAGAAATAAAAAAGGGCTCGGTGGTAATTTGCAGAATGCAGAGAGGGACTAAATTAATTTTTGGGAGATCGGTTTGAAAAGAAGGCCGCGTTTGTCATTAGTCTGTATTTTTTTATATTACAGTTAAAAGAATATTGAAAACTTGACAGCTCGAGCAGGAAATTTCTTTGTTCTTGAAATCTGACACCAGAAAAAAATATCGTGCATGATTTGTTCGAGCATTTTTGTCACTTTTATTGTTGAATATTTTACGGAATTTGTCCTAAATTTTACGGGCATGGGGATGACATAAAGAATCTATAAAGTTATTCATAGAGAATTTTTCTCGTTTCTCAAACACGACAAATACAGCGTACATCACGGAATATTTTTCCATAAATATATTATATTTAATAATTTCTGAAATATCGTCATTGATTTTTTGACGGAGAAAACCAGAAAAACAGATAAATTAAATCAGGTTTTACATTCATTTCTCGAGATTTCTGTGCCTTATAAAACAATAATTACAAGCATCACCTCTTCATTTTATCAGTTCTTATAACATGCAAAAGTCGGTTTCCCTCTTCCGTACATCTGCCGTCTGTTGGCCATTTTATGAAGAAAATAATCTCAGAAACTGCTCGACTGATTGTTGACTGAATGTAAATGATAACCAAATTGGTATGATCATCCTTTTAAAAATTATGTTATCTTTGGTAGGGAGTATTGTGGTGGCACCTTCCAAAAATTACCTTAAAACGAATATAATTAGGCAATCGGCAGAGAGGCGGAAACGAGATAGTTTTTTTTTCGTACTTTATTAAATCTCAGGTAAAACATACCGTAGTATGATTTTTTTCTAGATTTGTGTGCAAACAACTTTATAAAAACAATGATCGCCTCTTCACAGAGGAAATTTTTCAATGGAGGTTTATTAAATATTTTCTTAATATACGCGTCACAGCTCTCTAGAGGGGATGAACAAATGAAATTAACATTCTGTACTCCTTTAGTCAATACTGATTTCTAGCCAAAGTTTAAAGAAGTTCATTTTGTGGTTTCCAAAATAAAGCTGGATGGTTGATTGTATAAATATTGCTTTTGAAAATAATCATATCCATAAAGTTAAAAAGAAGCTGAACAATTAATCTCATATTGTTGATATTTTTTTAACAAAACCAAACTTACTATCAATTTTTTGGAAATTTTTGAAGCAGAAATTTTGAATTAGTATTTGAAAAAAAAATTTTTTTTCGAAATTTTGATCCTGAAGGTTTTCTCAGAAAAATTGGATCTACAATTTCATACTAAACTGATCGAAATCGAAAATTTAAAGATTACGAAAAATGAAAAATTGAAACACAAAAGAACTGAAAACTCGAAAAATCGACAACCCTAAAATTTTAAAAACTGAAAAATTAAAATATCGAAAGTTGAAAAATTGAGAAATCGATGTATAAAACGGTTGAAAAATTGAAAAATCTAAAATTTAAGAAACGAAAAATTGAAAATCCAAAAACTAAAAAGTCGAGGAATCGAAAAATTCAGAACTTGAAAAATCAAAAAGTCGAAATACTAAAAAATTCCTAAACTCAAATATCGAAAAATTGAAAAATAAGAGAAAAATGAAGAATCGAAAAATAGATTAATTGAGAAATCGGAAAATTGAAAATTCAGAACCGTCAAAATTTGAAAAATTAAAAAACATTGAAGAACTGAAAAATCCAAAAGTCCAAAAATATAAAACATTGACAAATTAAACTATAATAAAATTGAAAAACGGAGAAATCTAAAATCGAAAAGCTGAAAGTAAAAAATCGAAAAATTGAGAAACCGAAATAGGCCAAAATCGAAAAATCTTAAAGTTAAAAATGAAAAATTGATTAATCGAGAGATTTATTAATTTTTTAATCAACAGATCGAAACATCCGAATCTCGATAAATCGAGATCTCAAAAAATTTAAAAATCGAACATTTAAAAATTCGGAAAATTGAAAAATTAAAATATAGAAGAACTAAAACCTGGAAAAATTAAAAAGTTGAAATATGTAAAAATAAATCTCAAAAAATTCCAAAACTCAAATATCGAAAAATTGAAAAATAGGAGAAACAATGAAGAATCGAAAAACTGAAAAATCACAAAATTGAGCGAAATATCCAAAAATTGGGAAATTAAAAAATTGAAAAACTGAGAAATCAAAAAGTCAAAAAAGTAAAGTCGAAAAATTGAAAAATCAAAAACCTGAAAAATCGAAAAACTGAAGAACTGACGAAGTGAAAGATAGAAACTTTGGAAAGTCGAGAAATGCGAAAATTCAAAAATAGATTAATTGAGAAATCGGAAAACTGAAAATTCAGAAACGTGAAAATTTGAAAAATTAAAAAATATTGAAGAACTGAAAAATCGAAAACTCTAAAATCTAACTATACAAAAATTAAAATATCGTAAAATTGAAAAATGGAAAAATCTAAACATCACAAAATGAAAAAAATAAAAGTTCGAAAATCAAAAATTTAAAAATCGAAAAACTGAGAAATGAACAAATCGTGAAACTCGAAAATTAAAAATAAAATTGAAAGTTGAAAATTGGATAATTCAAAAAAACGAAAATCCGAAAAGTAAAAAAACGAAAAATTGAGGAATCGAAATAGGCTAAAATAAATCTTAAAAGTTAAAAATGGAAAAATTGATAAATCGAGAGATGGAAGAATCAAAACATCCAAAAAAAATAAAAAATTTAAAAATTCGGAAAATTGAAAAAATAAAATATAGACGAACTGAAATCTCGAGAAATCGAAAAATCTAGAACTTTAAAAATGAAACCTTAAAATATCGAAAAGTTGAAAAATTCAGAAATCGAAATATGTATAAAACAGTTGAAACATTGAAGAAGCTAAAGTTTAAAAAACGAAAAACTGAAAATCCAAAAAATAAAAAATCGAAAAACCCAGAAGTGGAAAAATCGTAGAAACTGAAATAAAGATACAAAGATTGAGGAATTAAAAAGTTGGAAAATTGAGAAGTCGAAAAACCAAAACAGCAAAGTCGAAAATTCGAAGAATTGCACAACTGAAAAATCGAAACTTTGAGAAGTCGATAAGTGGAAAAATGAAAAATGGATTAATTGAGAAATCGAAAAAGTGAATATTTAGCAACGTTAAAATTTGGAAAATTGAAAAATAGAAATATGTACTGAAGAACTGAAAATCAAAAATTTAAAAATCGAAAAACTGGAAAATCGAAATATCAAGAAATCGAAACTCCAGAACTTAAAAAATTGAAAAATTGAGAAGCAAACAGTAAAAATCGGAAAACTGAAAACTTAGAAATGTCAAAATTTGAAAAATTGAAAAATCGAGATATTTGGAAATCGTAAATTGAAGAGGGCAAAAATCGTATCATTGAAACATCGGAAAATTGAGAAATCGAAAAATAAAAAAAATCGAGGGATCGAATATTTGAAGTATGGAAAAAGTGAAAAAGTCCAAAATTGAAATATTGAAAAATTTAAACATCTAAAGCTGAAAAATCCAGAAATCGAAAAGTCGAAAAATCTCAGTAGCGTATTTTTAAGCCACACGTTCAGGACTAAGCTACTTCTTAACGTTGAACACATTTATTGGACAAAACTGTATGATGAACTCCTGGAGGGCATCACACACATGGAGATAAACGAAAACGTTTTCATACTCTAGAAGTCATGGAACATCAAGAAAACATGAAAGTTGTTATTAATTATTATTACAATTATTACATTACTCCCCTGGCCCGGGTTTGAGAAATAAATCGACTAAACCCAAGAACTATGTGCCTACCAATTTATACCTTCACTATTATGTGTCCCACTATTATCATCCCTTTTTACGACAAATACGAAAAAAAAAACAGCAACCACATATTTAGAAATTTAAAATGGCATAATACTAGCTTCGAAATACGAAAACAGCCGGCGCATTCTCCAGATTTAGACCCTAGTGAGTTCGGCTTATTCTGACATTTAAAAGAAAAGAAGGGTAGCTCGAGAGGCAAGAAAGTGTGAAAGCACTTCAATATCACTATACAATCTGAACCGCACGCGATCACTCCATCTGTTCGGTAAACGGTATATAATTGCATTTTGGTTTATCACCCTTTAATTGTGCAACATTGAGTGTTTCCTGATATTACGAGGAAAACAATTATTTGCCCAATTTTCAAAAAAAAAAGGCGAACTTACAATCATTTGAAATTATAGAGCAATATCGTAATTTATCAGTCGAAATTGCAGATATATTAATGTGGATTCTAGTTCTTGTGTTTCAAAAAAGTATTGTGAACTTGCGTTCGATAATGCTCCTTTTTGCATTGCGTGTGAAGAAAATTAAAGTGTTTGTGACGCTTGTTTCAGTCCTTATTCTCTAAAAAGCCGTCTCTTTGTCTAGTTTTACTATACAAATGTGTTAGAGTGTGCTTTCGTGTAAAACTAAGTACCAAATGTAGTCTTTGCAGTAATTTCGCAGGAAGTGATTGCAAACCGGATTCGACCGCCCCCTCCCCCACCGTCCGTTTTTCTAAATATTGCGTTAGAGTTTCCCTGTCGATTCTGTTTTATTTTCCACTGGGTTTGAACCGCAACGAAACTTTGTGTTCCAACTCTCCCTAAAAAACTACTGCCGACTTTTCAACCTGTCGACTTCTCCACTTTTCAACACATTTCGCGTAATTTACGCCCACCATAATCTAAGATTACGACCTCGGGCCCTCCGCCTCACATTTAAAACAGTTATTAATTACTCTCTTTGTTGCGGAAAACGCGACGAGCGCCCCATTGTTCATCATCCCGAAAAAAAATTCCCTCCTCATGCCCCAAGTCTAAACGTTGCAAATCTGGCTTAATCTCGCTGGACGTCCTTAATGAATAAGTAACGACACCGTAATGCAGTAA